AGATTCAAGACGGTTCGTAGGGCCTTCTTTACCGCAATTGTTCCTTAGTAGGAATATTCCTTATTACAACTACATATATTAGATTTCCGGGAATTTCCAGTGATTTCTATGGCTCCACCTTGACATTCTTTTGGAAGACCTATGACTCTGAGGGTTTCCATAGTGTTCAGTGCACCATAGTTAAAGATTTCATCCAGTGTTTCTAAAAAAGCTCAAACTTTCCTGAAAAGCGAAAGCCAATACGCCAAGGTGGAAAGCTGCACAGTTAGTTTTCTTGGGAAAGCTCTTATTTTGGGAATCGACTCACTTACAACATCCAAAAAGAAAGGCCTATTGATTATCGTACCCCTACCGCGTTTGCCGTCATCTGCTTGAGATTTTTATGGGTGAAGATAGGATGAATGTGATATGGGTGCTGACCGATGTCCATGAAATAATCATCAATGTAGAAAACTCCGGGGTGAACCTAGCGCTGTAGCTAATTGTACAGCACCACTTCTGGCACCATACGCTCGGTTCTACATTTTCTCAGATCTCGGTCCCTAAAAATTGTTAGGAGATCACGGTATGGGCTATTCGTACTCATAGGCATGGACGAGGCAGATACGGTAAGGGAAATCGCATCGAATACACGTTTTCCGATTGAGGAAAAGCTTTTGACATTTTAGGGGACCCAAACAGACAGAGATAACGGATATCGGCCAGGAAGGATTGGCTTTATACTTAGAAGCTTACTGCACTGCTCTTGAAAAGGATCACTTCCGGAATGTCATGGAGAGCCCTGCGAAAGCAAGAGGAGACCTTTTGAATGCTTTTAAGAATACGAGACTTTTCTGGACAGCCACCAATGAGACCCATATGTGCCTCTATCTCCCCGATCAGCTCCCTCCCATTTCACGAAAAAAAAACCTATACGATCAAGCCCTGTTCCTATGTGCAGATCGATTTCGTCACCTCTGAGTACATGGCCGTCTTCTCGGCTGTTTTACTTTTCTCGAATTCACTTCTCTTCACCCGATGACAAGTTGCTTGAGCTCCGAAAGTGCTTAGATGATTCGTTTAGCTCCTGCCCTTGTTACATGATGTCTCAAGCACTTTTACGGCATTGAAATGCCTTTTTCAAAAGCATAGACCCCCTGCTGGTTAACATTCACCTAAACATCGTCACAAAACCATATGACCAAAGAACTGAGCAAGGTTCTTGCACTTTTTTAAGATTTTTTTTCTCACCCAACCAAATAGAGTAGCCCAAAATGTATGGCAAAGTGCCCTTCGGTTATTCCAAAGCTAAAGAGCTATTAGGGCACATGACTCTTTTTTGTGCCGAAACTTCAGAAATAGTAAAAACTTCAGGTTACCATATGCGTAATTTCGGTCGATCGATATCTGGCCGTCACAAGACCGTTACGGTACAAATCACTGGTGACAAAAGCCAAAGTGATATTTGTTATGATAATTATATGGATGTTTTCTTCATCAATACTGCTAACTACCGTTCGTTGGGAACAACCGCCATGCTACGACGATGTCAGTAAGATTCCGATCGTCGATTTTTTTTCTTTTGACAAATGTGCATATCAATTTCTTTGACGTTTATGGTCATCACTCTCTTGTATCAAATGGCTATTGCTATGGACAGCCTCAGGACTTCCTGGTCAGGAGCTGCAGTAGGCCTTGATTCAGACCATATTCGGCGATGAAGTTTATCATGGTTCCTGGACAAACTCATAAAAGGGTAATCATAGGGATATAGAACCGGGCATGAAGGGTATATTGGCCATAAGACCAATAATCTGTTGAACAAACATATCCCCACATTTGGGGAACATTCTCAGCTTGTCCCATGCAGAATAGAAGGAGCTTTGACTAATCAGCTTTATGATAAGGGTAGGTAGAACCCTCTGAAAGTAGTCTCCCCAGAGGGAAATTCTCCTGTCTGTTCCAAAATAAGTAGCCATTCCGGAACAGTTCTTGTGAGCCATCAGTGACTGCATCCGCTGCTTTTCAGCCATGGGGCGCCTCTTCCTCTGAGCATGCCCCAGATGATTTAGGAGAACTTCCTTTGTTCCCAAACTCAAATGTGTCTTTGTTTTCCTTGTATTTGCGTACTATTGATATTGAGCAGTATCATTAGAACCTTATCAACTGCTTTGAACATCAATTACTATTTCCAGTCCATTTGCTTTGCCGGAAATGAAATCCGTTATCTGGCACACAGTGTGGTGTTCGCGTTTTTTCTACCGGCCTCTGTCACTCTTACCCTTTACTGGCGTATTTACAAATTAGCCCGGAATCGACAACGAGCTCTCGACCGGGGATTTCTTATGATACTCGGACACAACATGAACTTTCTCTCAAACACAATCAGCCAACAGGTACACAATCGATTTTGCTTTTTCGATTGTTTTTTTTTTCAATCGATATCAATATTGCAGTCATCCAACACTCTACGAGTTCACTTCGGAAAGAACAGTGGTATGGTGGAGCATCAACGACGAGTTCTTCGAACGCATGAGCGTATAGCCAAAACTTTGGGCGTTGTGTCGTGCTCCTTTCTCTTCTGCTGGTTGCCTTTCTTCAGTCTTTATTTGACAAGTGAGAGCAATTTCATATGTTCCGACATGCCCTGGGGGCAGATATAATAAATTCACAGAATGTGCTGTGAACCAATTCCATCCTACCCAAACTCTGCAACTTTTTTCATTATCCGGCGAAAAGGCTCTCACGGGGAGTGTTCGTTTTGCTGTGTGGCAACCTAGGAAACGTCACCCTGTCACACAAAGCACACTTCCCAATGCGTTCAAGACAAATTATGGGGTATTTCGCAGAGCAAGCAGGGTGCAGCATATGTAAACGCGACGACTCTATTATGTGATTACCGGCCGAACGAGTGAGAAGAGTGAGCGGGCGCGTGAGACGAGAAGAGTGCGATTGATTCGTTCCATGCTAGCCTTCATTCACTCTCAGCAGACATACGTACATGAAAAAGAAGCATCTGCATTTCAGATTACAAGTGTCAAGGATGCATCCCGTCGATCGCCATCGACCTCGCCAGTTGGTTAGGTATGTCGGTGGAACGAATGATTTGAAGGGTTTCTTGTTGGGGAGCGTTTGCTCATTTTTTGAGAAAATAAATTTGATGGAGCGTTCCCAGTATGTAATTTTACACCCCGAGAGGGTTTTATCCCTATGCGCAAATATGAGAGGACGAATCAACTTTTACTTTGCTAGCTAGGGTAGATAGAAAGAGTCATGCCTATCCATCGCCTCGTACATGGACAGAACTGAATTCAAGAAACAAGAGCTAGTGACAGAAGCCTGGGGAATACCGGTTTCTGTCTTTGCGGTGGGATCTAACTGGATCTTCCTAATAAATCGGAAAAAAAAACTTCGTCAACTTCCACTTCCTCCTAGGCTGGGGCATGTCCGACTCCATTCAAGATCGAATATTTTCTGTTGGCTACCCAATCTCCCTTACTTTACTATATTTAATATATCATTCAGTATGGATATACCCTTAATGACTAAGTGGCCATATCGCGTTAAGTGTTCATCTGAATATGTTGTCCAGTAGATGGGAAAAGCGGCTGATGGGGGAAGAACAACCATCAAGTCAGCATCACAATACTCTCAACAACACTACGGGGTAGAGAACTTTACGGGCATCTCTCTGGGGAAGGAATACGGTAAAGCAGTCAGTAGAAGAGCAAATCCTCTAAAGAAACCGACTCGCTAATAGGCCTACGAAAAAAATCAACCATTTCTTCTAAACTGATTCGACATCCATCATTTCTTTTACACTTCTTTCAGGATACTGCAACTCCATGCTGAATCCGATTATCTATTCGTTCACCGTCAAGGAGTTCAAGAGATCTGCGCTACGACTCATAGCGCCCACTTGGCAGTTCGCTCACGGGTGTCTCCCAAAGATTTTCCCGGCACCACCGGACAGAATTATGCAACGGATGTCGCGTACCGGTCATCGTGCCCGCAATAAGACGCGGCATCGCTCATTCGAGTTGAACGACAAGAAAAATCCTTTGCTCAACTCCAGATGCGCTCAGAAACGACGACAAACTGAGCCAGCAGTGTTCGGACTTCAGAAAAAAGTGATTGAGGTAGTTTTTGCTCGAAATTTCCCTCCTTACATATTGTTTTTTTCAGGTCTGCGACGCGACGACTGCACCAATCATAGTCGAAGAAAACGAGGACACACAAAACGACTTCTCTGAGTCGAACGGCTTCACCACCTATAACGAGACGACAAGACGCTTTTCTGACCTGCCTGCAACGCCGACACCCATGTTGCCGATAGTAGAGACGGATTCGACGAGTCCGCCCGCGACCAATGGTGAATGCAAATCTGGTCATGTGGACAACTCGGCTTGCTTGATCAAAGTCTTTTGCGACACAACGGAAGCCGAACTCTGAACCGCTTTGCCACTTACTCTGCTCACTTTTATTGCGTGTAACGGGGAGACTTCACTTCTCTCCACATCCCAAAACGTGTATTTCATTCCTTAAGCTGTACATATGTGCTTTTTATATAAAATAAAAATTCTATTGGCAAGATCCAGATCCCAGCTCTAATCCAAACATCGTTCGGCTCCAGAGCTACGATCCCTTTTCTCGATTTCGGTCGAACACCCGTCAGCGCTGTATAAGCAAGCGACTAGGTAGGGGAAGCACACTGACAAGGAAGTGAACGGAGATGGGTTAGTGGGGAGACCATGATAGAAAAACGTGGAAGACGACCTGATGGGGATGACGAGAAGGAGGGGAGGCGAGGGAACGACGTAGCGCTGAGGAGGAAGTGAGTTCGCACGCTTTGCGTAGTGGTGGGGTTGAATAATGCAGGCGTTGGCATGCGTTATGCAAAGGCGACGACAGCACTCGCACTGATATTCGGCCAAAAGATGAGCTAACATGTCCTAAGCCCCTCTTAAACCCCTTGAATCCCTCTTGAAGGCTCGTAACACCTGAAGGGGCCACGGACAGTAGCTCGCTTACCGTTGATCACATTCTCTCGAAATGCGTCATTAGCTCCGCTTTCGTTTAGAACCGTAGCAGCTTCCAAATGCTCACTGACCCAGCCTTGTGGACTTTCCGAGATGGCCAGTGGTAAAAGTGTAAAGCGATTTTCTCTGACACTCGGTCGTTAAGTGAGGTAGGACTCAAAATTCAACCTCCGAACATGCATGTAATAGTAGCATCCCCAGCCACCGCCCCCTCTCCCTCATCCTCCCGCCCCCTCTGGAAGAAGTTCATGGGATTCAAAAAATGCATAAGGTCCAGCTTTGTTCCCTTTTTCAGGGAAGAAAGCATTATACCATTACGCTACCATATACCATACGCTCGCTAGCGACAAAGTTTTTTTAGTGACAATGACATCTCCATCCCGAAGAAGAGGCTACTCCTTAGCAACACAGTCAAACGTGGACGTCAAAAAACGTCAAATGTATTGATTTTGCTTTCTCTACCATCCCTCATCACCCCAAACCCTGCTTCCCTCCCCTTTTCCATCCTTTTCCACTTCTAAAAAAAGCCCCTGATTCCAGGGACCCGTAAAGCCTTTCGACATCACTTTATAACTGATTCCGCTTTCACACTGATGAGTCTAGTAGGTTATTCTCCTTTCTTAAAGAAAACACGCTATGAATTCACCACCACTCAGTACCCTCTTTGGATGTACAACGCTGTCAGTGCACTGTCAAAGTCGCCGAGGCGTTAACTATCTTAATTAGCTTGGACTCGTCGAGATTCGATCCTATGATTGTGGGGATAGCAACGCACTAAGAGTAGCCGGTATTCATCCCGCAAGCTTCCACTCCATCGCAGGTTAAACATAGGTAGGGCCACTATCCTGCTCAATAGCGGACTCTGAAAGACTTAATCCTCCTCAATCGGAGTGCTCTTGCTGGAAAAGTTAGTTGCAAGCGTTGGAATAACCGTCTCAGAAAATGCCATCCTATGCTGGGGTATGGTCAAAAAGAGTAGGATTTTTGATAAAGCTAAAAGGTGTTCGAGTAGTCCCACTTCATTCCAAAGGAATTGTCACAGAACGTGATCGATTGAGACCACTGACGAAATCCATCCCATTCATCAACAAACTGAATATTCTGTGAGCCAAGATACACGCAACTAGAAAGTAAAAAGAGGCTCGTCTCTTTACTAGCTTAGAGGGATGGTGGAGCTCTCTAGAACTGCTTATGTTTGACCCTTTTTTACGTATCACTACATACGACCAAACGCTACTGTTCTACTTTTCTACTGGATCCTACAAGCCGAGAAGCGGAAAAAATAATTTGGGGTTCGCAATAAAGTTCTTTGCCAAAAACATTTTTTGGAGTTGTTTCTAGAATTTTCCTAGCCGGCAGTCGATCAACGTATTCAGCTTGACTTCTCCCTTCTTCTCTTGACTTCCTCCCAGAGACATCAGTGATTCCCCCAAAGAATGAGAGGTTTTTAAAACTTGACAGTTCAAAAACCTTCTCTCATCCTTTGGGGGAACCACTGATGTTTTTGGAAAGAAGTCAAGAGACTGCCATTTGAAGAAGTTATCGACTGCCACTTTCACTTAGCACATCATAAGCTCTTTCCAACTTTTTTCACAATAAGGATGTCCAAATAAGCGGAGCAAAGGTATGGACATTTGCAACGTTCGGGCGTACAGTAGCTAAGCAAGCTGGAGGTGGGCGTGGCCAGGTGTTTCACCGACTGATCTCCGATGAGGAATTTTGACGCGCCTCACTAAGGTGGAGGTGAAGTATCGAAGGTTTTAGAACTCCTTATTGAACCGTGTTAACCAATTGCTGGATTCATCGCTTCAAAGGGCAGCTGTGATTAACTCGTCTGCCTACAACAGCTCAAAGTGGATGACAGCGGGTTTAAGTTCCACCAATCTCAGAGTAGTTGTTTGCGTCAACCCGAAGTTGAGTATTTCTTCGGCCTGGCGGTTCAACTGCTTGCTGACCATTGAACGGGTAACAAACAAATATGTTGCTGATAATTTAAGCTGCTGCACCCAACCCATCTATTTGGAGTTTCGTGGAAGGTTTGTTGCGGAATTGACGTGAAAGCTTATACACGTGGCCTGTTTATGTACTGTGTTGATCGTACAGGGTACACCATGGAAGCTTATCACCCTTCCTAAAGTTTGCGCCTTGTTACACAGAAATTTTCGCTTCGAATTAATTTCGTGTGAGAACTTCCACGAGATAGTGAGAAGAACGATACCAAATATCCATGGTATGGTATCGTTTGGTTTTCTTCACTATCTCGAGGTTTTCCTTTCTCCTCCTGATATTATGTTTCCTTTAACTTATAAGTAAAAAGAAAACCTTACTCAATAGTGACTTCTGCTGAGATTTCGGCGTATGCTTCTTGTTCATTCGGACTGCGATCTCCAACATGAAGATCATACAAATGAACATCACTATACTTTGCGCTAACAACGCCAAATCGAATCGCTTGCCAAACCTGAAAGGAAAATCCAAAAATTCTAATCTAAAAATATGGCTGTTGGCCCATCAAGCAAGTACTATGTTTCCTGGGAACAAATTTTTCTAAAGATCTGTAAAACAAAAAGCGCTCGTTTCAGCTATAGTTTCTATTTCTTTTACTACTTGTTTTGGATGAGTAGCGAACTTGATGTGTTGTCATCAAGGAAAGGGGCCATGCATTTCCCTTTGATTCAAAATTATAAGAACTAAAGCAGTTTTAGACAAGGCTTTCCTTCCCATAATCCTCACATTTGGAGGAAATCTAGTTCCCTCACTCTCGGTCATTATACGATCAAATCCTTCGGCTAAGGAAGCTCTCGAGGTTACAGGAGGTAGATTTGAAGAGAACACCAATTTTTGAAAAACCAATTCGGAATTGATCAATACTATCATCATCCATTTAAACAGGAATATAGGACTGTTTGGACTGGACGCGGTTTGGAAATCTTCACCCATTTGTGAATGGGACTAACTTAACAACTACGCATTGAAATAACAGTTTTTACCCCTTCAGAGTAGAAAAGATACCTATCGAATATTTCCTCGAAAGATTTAATATATATTTTGTAAATGAGCGAATAATTACTGTAAATATAAACAACTCACCAAAACAATATCCTCAAAATGTTCGCAATACATAAAGCAAGGCAAACGAAGAGTGAGAACCCTTGGGCGTTCCGCCGATGATGTATTTCGGCATATTGGAAAACGTACGGTATTGAACCACCGACTAAACAAGGCAAATTTTCGAAATTATTCACGCCAAACTTTTTTCAGCGAAAATAATGATTTTGCAGATTACTAACAAAAAAAATAAATGATTTGAGTTTAAGCAATGAAAATGGAAAAGAATGGAAATCATAGTGCAAATTGAAAGTGACGTTAATTGATATCTTTGCTTGAAAAACAAATTTATGAAAAAAATCTCACCGATACATCGATAAAGATAATATTTTAAGAATAATCAAGAAAANTTCTCTTCGTTTTTTTCTGACTATTTTTCACAGCATATGGGAAGCCATATGTAATTTTTTCGTTCTACCCATCCATCCTTGAACTACCGAACTCCACGCCCTGATCTCTTGGTATGCAAGCTTTTAACTGGTGTGATCTGCGGATCCATTCGAAAGCAATGTTCGAGGCATGGCTTCAAAAAAAAAAGTCGGAAACACTTTTCTATGCCATGAAACCCCAACATGATGCCCATGGGATCTTCCTTCGAAGATAAATTTCACAAATCCTTAACTTCACCAATTATGCGCACTATCCTTGAATAGATGATTATCCTAGCGATGAGCTAAATTGTCCGTTCGCAAAGTAATCGGATCTTCTAGAATTTCTCGAGAACATCCGCGCAGTAGTAGTAGCAAGTATGTGAGGGAAGTTTGCGCCCAGTCAACCATAATTCCTTTCCCGATTTCAGATACTAATCAGACAAAGAATGAGAGAAGCACGTCCGAAATGTTTTGACTTTAGAAAAAATGTTTGAACCGATAACTTCGAGGATCTTCAACGAAATATTCGTTCTATCGAATCGGCTTGTTACCCTATCTGAGTTGCTTTCTTCCAACTAGCTTTGAACAACTTGCATTCAAAGTACGGTGTTTAAAACGGCAAGTATGTATGTAAGAGAGAAGATTTGAGGTTCGAAAATTTTCAAGAATACGGATGGTTTCCGGAAATCCCTAAGACCTTCTGAGTTTGGAATACTGAAAGTCAAACTCAGAGCCAGACCCATGAGGATTTCCGGGAGAGGAGTAAGTATATGCGCATATGCGACTGTATTGGGGAACACGATTCCAGGGTGAACGGCTTGATGAAGCATTTGGAAAACTGGTGAAAAAATGCGATGGTCGAGACATAAAATCGAAGGTCGAACGCTACCCTCTATGCTACTTCACTAGCTATGAACTTTGATAGAACAAACCAAAAGCATGAAACGACTCACAAACAACGAAGAGATGAACAATGGCCAAAAACATCGGTGCTGAATCTCTAAAAGGACGCTTGTTCCATCAAGTATTGGTTCAAATTATAACTAAAAACACCAGAGAACCAGTTAATAGAGAAGCAACGAACATGAACACTGGCTATTCGCTAAATAGAAGCCAAGTGACGATGTGACCTTTAAGCGTGATAGATAAGAAAGATGCGACATCAATATTCATAAGGGAAAAAAAGAAAAAGAAACATTCAAGCGAAGTAAACAGACAGATGATGAAGCATCATAGCTAGATAAGGAAGGAGATACAGATTATAGAAAAACAGAGTAAAAAGTGAAGGGGTTCCGTCGGTGAAAAGAGTCGGACTATGCGCCGAAATTGAACAACACCGATTTTGATTTCTCGATGGTCAAGAGGAACGAAGATGACAGTGTTTATATGGTTGGTCCTCCACCCTCTGTGGTGGGTCGATTGCTGACTGATATCAAAACCGGGGTATCAAAGCGAGAATCATAAGCACAGGGAAACTTCCCCATTTTTGTCCATTTCATGGAGAACATAGTTACCTTCTAATCCCTCAAACTACCTTAACAACTTACAGCTCTCTGAATATCCAGTAAATCGAAGAAAGGATTCAGATATTCATCAATCGATCACTTTAACCCTCCTATTAATTCAAGAAACGGTGGAACACAAGCATCGCTTCANAAAAAATGAAAGGAGAAAGGGATTGGGAATGTCAATGCAAGCTGTAAACGGATCCGGTCACTACAAAAGAAATCCGGGAGAAAGACGAAATTGGCACGAAATCGCTGACGATACCAATGGTATTCCATACCATATCAACAGAGCATAGAGCACAGAGATACACACGATAGATTTATTCCAGGGTTATGTGATAAGCCTGGTGATAAGATTACATAGGAAGCCCACAAAGATCACCTTCACTCTACTAAACAGTTCTAAATTCAAGCCTTGACTAGACAGTCTAGAATTCACATTGATCATTATCCAATATAATTCAATTAAGGAAACATATATAAAGAAAATAATTGAAATTTTGAAAAGTTCAAATTCAGCTATTTCACAAACCAAAGACTCAATATTACTGAGTTACCATACTCACCTACTATGAAGAACTTAAAGAACCAAGTAACGCCCACTACGATGAGATCTGATAGTCGATCCCATGGGATGAGCGCCAATCCCGTGGCATCGACAACCATCATCATCGCCACCAGAACCTGAAATCGAACCCAATGACCATTCGACGATTGAGCAATGAACAAGGTAAATTGCAGGCAGGCCGTCTGAATGAACACATACATACGTACGAATGTCCTACGCGGTCAGGAAACTAATTCTCTAACCCGATGCAAAAAATAGCTACATAGGTGGGCGGAGCAATCGAGAAGCATGCGGTTGCGGCGCGGACGACAGTCACTGGTTACGGAACATGCGCACAAAATATCAACCTATGAATCAAAGTCACCATGAAAACACACCAAAATGACCACACTGTCAGTGTCTGCATCCTAACTCTATTTGGCATATGTCGACGTCTCAATCCACAGCCGGTCTGCTATAGAACAATACCGATGGCTTGACATTAACTTTTGGACCGTGGCCAACTGACGTCAAAGTCTGTGTGCAGCTATTCTTGTAGGCAGTTTGAGAGGATGAAGAAGGACAACTGAGGGCACGGCAGCGGAACAGATACCAGACCGTAAGCTTCGTATGTCCTCTCCCATCCCTCACTAACATTGGAGAAAGAACTTCTGATAAGTAAAAAAAATAGGGCTAATGGTCTAGGCGTTTGGTGTTAAAGCGATTAAAGGCGTCAGACAGAAGAATCTGTTCAATCCCGTCCGAAATACGGTAACCGCAACGCAAACACGCCCTTCTCGGTTGTTCTGCCCCTGCTCTAATTATCCGGCACCACAAACTAAACAGAAATTCAAAACGATGTGACAAAAAAAAGGATTGAGTAATAAATCACATAGGAATAACTGAAGATTATATAAATAGGCAGCATCACCACATGAAATAGTCGCCGTTCACACAGCTCTTTCGTATAAAAATAAAACGCAGTTGAATCAAATCACTCTTTATCTAATCGATAATACCCAAATCGTGTTGATCACTGTTTTATATTTACAAGTGTGAGTGTGGGAACATGTTTACAGCCATGAACTGTGAAGAATTGAATTATGAATGCGTGAAAATAGAACAGATTCCACTACAACGGCGTTTCTACGACGAAGGACAATGACGCGGCGGAAAACTATAGCTCTGAGAGTGTGACGGCCTGAGTGGGACGGGTTATCGAGTGATGCTTTCAAGTCACGGTGATGACATCCGTACTGTTGGCTTCACTATCAGCTTCCCATTCTGAAAACAAACACGATTATGACGTAAATCGCCCCCAGCTACTATCTGTTGGTGACTCAGCGTGGGAAGTCCCACTCGCTCTTGAACATATAAGTAAGAAAAATGGCAAAAATCAAGAAGACCTCCCAAAACACAAACCCTCCCGTAATCAAAATTTTATGGATTTCTAATTAATTTCGAGAAAAAATTGCACACTTATTAAGCCCATGAAAACAACTGTCATTCAGAATAAAATATTTCAACGAAATGGTGTACGAGAGGCAAAACGACCAAGGCAGCTTTCACCTCCGATTCTTCTCACTAGAGCAAATGGAATTAGCCAAATCAGCCATACCAATGAAAAACTCACATCATCACAGCTCAGGCTAAAGTACGATAATGACTCTCGACATCTTCTTGCAATTCTGAAAGGAGATAAGCTTTGCTCACGTTCTTATAACAGTATAAGAAAAGAATTCAAAAAAAAAAAACAAATTTCCCAAGACAACAAAGACATGGCAAACAAAGACACACATGACGAAAGTCGTATAGCGTCAACGAGGACGCAGTCAAGCGGAACCCGCACGAAACGATGAGGCTCAGTTACGAAAACGAACAGTCAGTCAAGCGAAAGATTGGTCTGATAACACGTGATGGCAAAAAAATACTACCCACGCAAACAGCTATGTCGAGATTTATACATGGTAGAAAATAGAAAATAATAGAATTTCTATTTTTTACAAATATCAAGCAGAAACCCGACGATTTGAAAAATTATAAAAAGAAAAGGATTTGTTGGAGATCTGTCAACCGAAAATTACTCCTCTAAGGATTGACCAAGATGAATGATTTTGGGGAATAGGCCAACGGATCGGTGCAGTCGGCTTTCTCATTAGGGCTCGTCTCCCAGGTGCGTAACGTTTCCCAGGATTTCTCGAAAGCACTATTATTTTTAATGCTCAGAATCTTTTATCAAACAAACTTCGCCTTTGAGCTAAGTCCAAATGATTGGACGTAAGACACCCAAATCTCCCACAAATGAGTCACAAGAATACCATTCGCAAATTATCAGCCAAATCATTTTCAATTATGGGATCTATGAAATCCTGCACCAGTAGGAATATCCACTAGGAACGTCTCGCTACATAACTTAACGAATACCAACCGTAGGCAAGAAGAGGCAACATCACCATTCTACTTCAAGGAGGTGCGACATCTCACACAGGGTAAAAAAACTAGACGGAAAGTTTTCAGGGTAAAAAAAAGCAACAAAGCTAACTGAAGGTCTCGGATTTTAGGAGACGGGGNGGGGCTGGAAAAAGGAAAAAAATCAAAGCCTCGTCATACGGCAAAGTACACTGAGGCTCGCTGTCTGCGCGGCCGACTATGACCGACCCAACAGCACAACATCCTACAACCTTCCTACGAAACGAAGTGAGTGGAATATGTAAGTAAGCTTATGTATCCTACAAGAAGGGATTACAGGAGTACAAATTAGAGAAGTCGCTCATGTCACTCAACGAAGAACCAAGTTATTGCTTCTGAACAAATCGCGGGTTTTTAGAAATAGACAATGAATGCAGCAGCAGTGTTCTCTTCTACTCCAGACAAAAATGAAAAAGGGGTCGTTTCTTTTCACGCGAACAGAGACAACAGTTGCAGCTCCAGAATAGAAACATTTGAAAAAAAGTAAAGTGTGTGCGGTATTGAACACATTCAGATCGAGCTGCGACATCTTCACGCCAAAAATCAACAAAAAGCCCTGCGGAGCAAGGTATGAAGAGTGCAAACAGCGTTTCCGTCACGAGTTTGCAAAATAGTGCAAAATAAGAAAGTGCCTTCTTCATTGGATGCATTAGATTTTAAAGACCAGCTGCAGCAACGGTAATCTCACATCTGTTTGTAAATATTCCAAAGGCCATTAGGTTTTTACTAAATCTCGCAATGCAATATAGAGGCTGTTGAAGGAGAAATTGCAGTTCTCGAAGCAGATGTGTATATGGAAAAACCTCATCACATCAAGAACACGGTTAAAAGGGAACATTACCACTAAACCATGAATCTATTTGCATGAATAATTCTTCAAATCCTACGAGTTCATTCTGAGGGCTTCACAAACAGAGGATGACCAGGTAGAAACGATTTTCCCAATTCTCTACTGCTTAATAGAAAAAGAAAACGAAGGGTCTACCGAAATATTACATTATTTTGTACAACTTGAACACTTTTTTCAGATTCGAAAAAGATAGGTTCATAGCTCCAAGAACTGTATGATCGCCATCGGAATAGATTGATTACATCCCATCAACACCACCGTAAAAGATCAACCCAAATCCTACTAAAAGCTGCCTCATAAATCTAATCAACTCCCCAATATACCAGTTCAGTTCCAACTGAAGCCTTCTGAAATAACTCTCTGTTTGATTCGGGAAAAAGCGATGTCAGAATATTATTAAAAAAACTCAGCCGATGCCTAAACCAAACACAGCAGCTATCTACTTATGTAAACACCCAGGCTGTTTAAATCTGTGATTTGCGACTATGTCATGCGCTAACGACCATCCCATCAATTGCCCGCAACGTGCGAGAACACTGAAAGAACTGAGATCAATAAAAGCAGTAAGCGAAGACATTCATGGAAATAAGAACCAACAACGGTGGTCATGATGACGCCAAGGACGACAACCATTGAGCAAAACCAGTAGGAAGGAAAGAATCGACTGCCTTGGTGGCTCTGTAGTAACAAAACAATACACCACCGCCTATTCAGCCTTCAGGAAAACACCATTCTGCAGAAGGAACAAACAACCTGATTTTAATTCTTAGCGGAAGTTACAGATGAACTGACGTTTTCGGAAGTAATTACTCGAAGTATGAAAAATCGAATAACTTCCAGTAAAATGTAAATTATAGCAATTTGCTTTCGGAAGCTTCGATAACGGGAGTTTAGTCCAGTCCGGTCCCATTTGGACCAGGAATAGAAAGTGAGAGTGTCAGAGACAATGACACCGTAGAAGAAAAGCCGTTTGTGTCGCCCGATAGTATCTCCAAAGAAAAGTGAATGCAAGGATCGATCGATTCAGAAATCTTGACAGAGGAGGAGTTGAGAAGNGGAAAACACCATTCTGCAGAAGGAACAAACAACCTGATTTTAATTCTTAGCGGAAGTTACAGATGAACTGACGTTTTCGGAAGTAATTACTCGAAGTATGAAGAGTAGAACACTGCCAGTAAAACGTGAATTATAGCAATTTGCTTTCGGAAGCTTCGATAACGGGAGTTTAGTCCAGTTCAGTCCCATTTGGACCAGGATAGAAAGTGAGAGTGTCAGGGACAATGACACCGTAGAAGAAAAGCCGTTTGAGTCGCCCGATAGTATCTCCAAAGAAAAGTGAATGCAAGGATCGATCGATTCAGAAATCTTGACAGAGGAGGAGTTGAGAAGACTATGAATTCCAATGATCACAAGGGGAAGGAATGCGTATAGGGTGAGTTTGAGTAGAAAGGTAGTCCCACCCTTCAAGAGCAGAGAAAATCGATTTCACATTCCATTAGAGAATTACATAAAACCCATAGACATACATAGCTGAAGAGCATGTAAAATTTAAAGCCTTAGCAGTAATGGAGCAGCATGAGGAGAGAAGAAGGAGTGCATATGGGCTGAGGAGGGTAGGGCAGCAAACGCATTTCACGGAATTTCAAATTTTCGACGAATTCCTCGGCCTAAGGCTACATAGATGTCCGCCATTTCTAAGAGCACTGGAATAAGGGCCATGTTTATTAGCGCGACAGATAGCCGAAGTTCCGAAGTAGTTTAAGGTGTCGTACTATAAAGAAACCGCGATTAAGCAAGGAAAGATAATTATCATGTCTT